TTACCAGCAAGACAGGTAATGACTAGGGATGTACGATATGGCATACAATTCATATCAGAATTGTTATTGTGATGGGTGGCGATAACAATTTATATCACAATATGTCTTTGATATAAAACTTGCAATAGGAATGAAAAAAAAAAAAAAGCATAGGGTGTCCATTTGCCATAATTTATGTTGAATACTACTATACCACAAAATAATCTCAATTAAGACAATTTCACTACTATGTCAAGGGAGTTTTTTTAAATAATTAACAAATTAACTATTAGTCTTCTTTCTTGTAGTGCAAAACAGTGCAAAATATATCAAATGTAGTTTAGCCAAATGTTTTAAACAAAAAAAAAATTGTTAACTCTTAGTTTCCAGTCTTCTCACTTAAGAAATGAACAGCAAGAGAGCAGCATTTTACAATGAAACACTTCACCCTCCAACCCTCTAGTGGGCATCTCCTTCCGCTTTTAGGAGAGCAGACACAAAATGGCGACCAGTTTCCTCTGTGGCTTTGACCAGAGGGTCTCGCAGTAAAATCACACAACACAGCGTTCTTTTACAGATCAGAAAGCAGGTTTATCCTTTTTTTTTGGGGGGGCTCAAATGCACCCTCTAAAGCTGACCAACAAACTTTCAACAAAAAAAAGGAACTTTTTATGGAACACAGCGTTTTGCTCATTCGTCCGAATACGAGTAAGGCAAGCTGGCCGTAGTTAGCTTGTAGCTTCGCTACTTAGCTCTCAAGGAAAGGACTTTAACACCACTTACACACAGTTTTCAACTCAAAAAAAGTAATGATTAAATCTGATAACTCTGATTTTACATCAGACACAGCATTACTGCAGTTAGCCGGTAGAATACAGATCTCTATCATAGGCTAAATGTCTATTGTTTCTACCGTGTACCGTATATATCGCACATTCCATACAAACAAGCCAACAGATTATGAGTGACACTAAGACCAAACGGTGCAATAAGATTCATAACTGGCTGCAACTATCATACCCATCACTGCACTCTGTATTTAATGGTCAAGTGGACATCATTAACTTCACGCAGACTCTCTCATTAGTACATTTTCATCTTTAAGTGACATTCTTGGTCTGTTGTCTTTATACATCTCCTCCTATATGTCACTCTGTGAGTTCAGCTACAGTGTGCGCTCTCAGGACATAATTACTTGCAGATTACCCTCAGTGGGGACCAAATGAGGCAAAAGGGCCTTCTACTCCGCTCCTGTAACCTGGAACACCTTGCAAAAAGATCTAAAGTTGTCGACTTTGACCACAGTAAGGGATTTTAAACAACTGCTAAGTTCATGCCAAAAAAAAAACAATGCAGACATGTTCCTGTTTTTTTAGTATTTTACATCGCTTTGTAATGTAGCTGGTTATTTTTGTTGCATGCTTATATCATTTCTTCTATTTACTTGTTCCTTGTATATGCTTTCTATATGATTGTCTACTGTTGTCTGTACCTTAGATAGAGAACTTTACTAATTGGCGTTTCTATGTAAATGAACGTTCCTGTAAAGTGCCCTGAGACAACTTTATATAGCACCATATCACAACAAATAAACTGAATTTAATTTAATTGAATCACCTAATCTGTGTTATTTGTTTAAAACAGGTCTTGTTTGCAAATGAGTCATCATGGCTCAATGAGACTGACCTGTATAAATAAAAATTGAATGAAAAAAAAAAGCATCCTAAAACAACACCTATCTAAAAAAAAATCCCACCATTTTTTTTTGCAACTGTTTTTTATAAACATTTACATCCCTATCAGTTATGATGTACACAGTCCGTCCATCCATCCATTATCTATACCCGCTTCTTCCTTTTCGGGTCACGGGGGTCACTGGTGCCCATGTCCAGCTATCACTGTGTGAGGGGCAGGGTACACCCTGGACAGGTCTTCAGTCCATCACAGGGACACATAGAGACAACCAAGACAAACAACCATTCACTCGGTCACTCACACCTAGGGACAATTTAGAGTTACCAATCAATCTAACATGAATGTTTTTGGTCTGTGGGAGGAAACCGGAGTACCTGGAGAAACCCGCTCATGAATATAGAGAGAACATGCAAACTCCACCAAGAAAGGCCCCCGGACTGGGATTTGAACCAGGGACACCTGCTCTCTTAGAGGCAACAGTTGTACCAACTGCACCACCGTGCTTGCCCTTGATTTTACACAGTCATTTCAAATATTAAATATTTCTGCAGAAAGTGTTGCAGGTTGAACCAGACGTGCTACAACTAACTGCTAGAAAGCCGACACTTGCAGGAAACCATAGAACTCTAAGTAAACAATACAACATTTTATAATTAACGACTGATTTTTATAAAACCTTGTTCGTATAACTAGACAGCTAAATCATTTGAGATTAAAAAATGTTTTAAGATGGCAAAATGCTACTTTGGTTTTGGACACATTCTTGCTGTTAGCTTACCAATCAACAAAACAAACAATAAACAGGATTTGTTGTCACTCTGAGATGACTCTTGAGCCACTATTACATTGTTGCCAAGCATATGTAAGACTGATTCAGTTATAGTCAATATTTGTGTTTGCCATAGCCATTTAGCTGTGGTGGTTGTGTTGAATCAGATTGACTCCAAAAAGACAGTCAAATATGCACATTTATTGATTACTTTCTAATAGTTTTAATAAAATCAGTCCAGTGGTTTATGATAGTTTGCTAACAGACAGACAAATAAAGTTACACACAGATTCAGGCTATTTACATTGTCATGGCAAAGCTCAATCATTAACTTCAGTTTCTCTAAACTGTGAAACATGTAAGATACTACTGTAGTTGTCAACAAGCTTTACACAAATCCCCACTCTAAAAGATTCAAACAATCGTTTTAATGTACCAAAATTATTATTTTCATCATGGTTACAGTGTAAAAAAAAAAGGATTTTTGCTGGGCTGTTACCCTGTGAATTTATTACTGTGCGCAGAAATTATGATACCAGCAGACCTAATCTGTTGTTTAACTGGCCTCCACCTTGAGGCAGGGAAATGCTCAGAGCAAACACTGTGTTGTCTGCTCAGATGCCATGGTTCAGATTTATTTAGAGGGCAAATGCTCCATTAGTTGGGCTTTTTTTAATTAGCGCACTTGTGAGAGAGGGTCATTAAGGATGTCTGACAGGAGACCTGCTGATGAGGGGAATGAAGGCACTGCTTGCACCAGCCCACACACATATACACAATCACACACGCATAGAAATACACACATTCCCACAAGCACAAATTTGCTTAACAACCCACAATATTTCACACAGTCAACGACAAACACGTGCAATAAGTCGACGCCACAGGTGACACAGTGGCTTCAGTCCAAAATGGACACAACACAAACCCAACACAGATATCACTATCATCAAATATTACTCATTCAAACAACATTTTGGAGACATTAAATATAAAAGCCTAGGCGTTCTTGACAGTATGCGTATCATCCACTTTTTTAAATTAAAATATCTTGCATAAATAAATTACAGCATTGTAGCCAATTTGATCAAACCTTGAAAATAACATGGAGCTGGCTTTAACTTGTTAATGCATCCACCTTATTCCCGGGGGCTCTACTGTATAAATGATTATGAGTGCAACTTCCTGTCAGACACAGGAAGTAGCAGTAAGCATTGGTTAACCATGGTAGCAGAGCACGGACCACAATTTATTTGAAAGTAATCTGTATTCAGTTTAGCCGATGAAACACTGTTCTTGTTTTGTTCACATTTATTTAACAACTATACAGTTTACTAAAACAGCCCCGTGGAGTTCAGGTACCTGTTGTGCTGTTCTGCAGAACAACCAAACTAAATCAGTGGCAACGACAACAGTGTTGTGAACACAGACCCCAAACAAAACATATTGCTCTGAAAAGTGGCATAGTTTCCATCGCCTACCTACAGATGAAGAATTAAGAAGAATGCGGCTGAAAAATGTGAACTTGAAGAGATCACCAAAAACACTGTATGTGAGCTCATTTCACTTTGTTGACAAACGGCCGATGGAGGAAAACCTGTATCCTACTTTGTGGCTGGACTACAATAAACCACCAGAGAAGGGACGCTAGATCCTCAGAAGGATTGAAAACAGTGTGATGGGAACATCAGGTATTATTTCAAGTGTATGGAGGTCACAGCATGATAGTATTTGTTTGTCTTCAGTATTCCAATTTTCTTTGCAATTAACCCAAACTCGGTTATGGAGGACTTTAAGGCTTTGGCTGGGCTCTGTGTCTGCTTTATGGTAAATAAGATTGTGTCCCACCTCTTTTAACAAAACATGACCAACCTTATTACTAGATACTAATATACTTCAGAGCTTTTCAGATTGTTCATCGCTTCACCGTCAGAAGAACCGAGTCATGTAGTAGCTAAATATGCTAGTAGATGTAATCCGCAGCCACTTGTTCAGGTCGTCCTCCATCCTTCATCCTCAGTAGGCAGCAGTATGATTATATTGTCCTGTTTGAGATCTGACAGGTGGTGTTCCTACATGTTTAAATTAAATCCGCAATGCTCGGAGAAACTACATTAGCTCGTACTGTTTGCACATAAACAAACGCCGGTTCTGGTCTGCACTGGAAATCGTGCCCATAATTCATGCAAGGCAGCGTGGGGTCCAGGGATTAGGTGGATAAAACAAATATATTGTGCAATTTGTTATCTCTCACAAGTATGTGTTGTGTATGCATCTCAACTACTACCACATCAAACAATAGGTCAATATCTGTAACATTGATTAAGTTAAAGGCATTTTTAAGGTCAGATGGCAGTGGCAGACATCTTGAAATCTCAAAGTTAATTAGTTTTAAATGTAGAGTCAATGATTACTTTCTGCATGTTTCATTTGCGTCTAGTAATTCATGCAACAATTCTATAACAGACAAACAGACAAAAACAGTATTCAACCTTCTCTTTTATGCAGTGGGCATAAGAAATGTTTCTATTTGCCATGCATGGTGTTGTCACTGTACCATTTTCTGGGTGTTCTGTTTCTCCAATACTTCCATCTGGGGTGGTTCGCTCATAGTGGTCCTCGGGCAGGGTGAGGGGTCCGATGCGTGGGCCAGACGATGATTTACTGCTGGGAGTCTCCGACTCCTCTAAACCGCTGTCATAGTAGCTGTGCTGGGAGGCATCCTGCATGTCCTGCACAGGGTTTGTGGTGGAAAAGGTCACTCTGCGATGGGGATGCTGAAAGCAAAGAGACATCAAATGTTTGTTTTTTTTGTTGTTTTTTTTCAATACAGTTTTTTTTTTTTAAACACCAAGAAAAACATTTCTCCCGACCACACTTTCCAATTACATTTTCTCAGTGGTGGATGGGTCCCTGTTACACCTTAAACTGAACCAAATTATGATTGGTGTCTGAATAATTCTGTCTCTATAAAGTTCACTCTCCGAAAGTTAGAAAATAATATCAAATATTAAACACTTTTAAATATTGAATAGTCTTTTGCTCTATTATTATTTCCAGAATATTACATAAGGTATAAATATATAAAGAGAAGAGGTTATTTATTTCAGTAATAAGGATATGGAAATCTGCAGCCACAGAAATAACAAAATAAAACATATTTTTTTCCAGATTACATTATAACACTAAAATGTATAAATATGAATAGAATATGTGAACAAGAAAAATCATAATTATTTGACTAGAAAATAAGCAATTTTTTGAACAGCATAAAACACTATTGTATTTTAGCACTATTTATAAGTGAATATTTTTTGATAAAGAACTCTGGTGGGTACATACAGTACTTTATAAAGAATTTAAAACACTCCTGAATCTATATATAGATTTATTCAAGGTACCATACTCTCTAGTCATTTCTAAGTGTAATGTTGATTGATATTTCTCAAGAATTTTACAAGTTTTAGTTATTGAAAGTGTTTCTGCAGTAGCTGATGCCTTTATTTCACTTTTTTCTGCCCAGTCCTTGAATCTGACCATAACGGCGTATTGTGCAATATGTGCTTAAGGAAGTGAACAAGTGGAGAACAAATGAAGGCTCAGGCCTATTAAAACTATCTCTAGCAACTGAACATAATGTTAAAGTCACGTCTTTAAGAACTAGGGTGAAATAAAAAGTGTAACTTTCTATCACAGGACCTGAGACATGCATCATTGTAAATTTGATTATCTACTGCATGTTGAATTTTCACCCAATAGCTCTTTGGAAATTGCCTTAGTCGTGCTAGAATACATTTTTAAGCCTTTTTAAGTGTTATTTTTGGACAATTATATTTCTCTAAGTTGACTCTCCTGTCAACATATAATTGGTTAAACCCTTTGTCAAATACTGCTACTGAAAATGATTAAAAGTTGTACAATATCAACTTTACAACTTTTGTATAGTAAATACAAACAACAGCCCCACCTACAACAACAATAATAATACTATTAATACTTATTATTACTATTAATAACAATTAACAACAACAACAACAACAACAACAACAACAACAACAACAATAATAATAATATAATAATAATAATAATAATAATAATAATAATAATAATAATAATAAT